CAGATCAGACTTAGACATCTAAAGACAGACATCTACAGGACTGCTTGTCATCAAAGACGTGCTAGTGTTGTGGTCCAGCTATTCTCAAGTATGTCACATGCATTTTCCATGTAACCTCTTTGCTGTCTCCTTCCCTTTTTCTTAAACAATTCTACAGATACACATCAATTTCCTTCTATGTCTTCAGATCTGTGTATTTGAAATAGAAAGGCTGAGCAGTAATCATCTGCCAAATAGTAATCGCTTTAGAGAATAGAATAAAGTTATTGTTTAGACTTCCTTGCCAAATTTCTATTTGCCTTAGAGAAAGCTCATTCAAATAAACTAAGCTTGTCAAAACCTGAATGTTTGATACCACAGAAAACTCCAAAATTACAATTTCCTTTCATTGCGAGTTAAACCTCAATTCAGCATAAGACCTAAAATTCAGTATAAATAAATACACTTTATATATGCTAATAATTGCCCAGTTTTCATTGCCAGACTTTTCTAATAACCACACATTCAGCTACATATTTTCTTAATCAGCATTTCATACAACACAAATTGTGGAAAATACTCAATTTATGTCAATCAAAACATTGACATGTCAATGAGCAATATTTGCTTGAATTTTACCTTGACAAGTTTTATACACAAAAGGGAAGGTATCAGGCTATGGAGATGGCAGCAGCTGCATGACAAGGAATCTTAGAGACCTGCAGGCATTCCTAGGTGCTCAGATGATCAGGAATGTGGACTGCAGCACTGTGAGCATGACCAGAGACCATGGTGCAGTGTTCCTGACAGAGCAAACTACCAACTCTTTCCAGGACAGCCCAAATGGGAAAACAATACGTGAAGACACAGGTAGATTTTCCAGCTTTGGTAACAAGTAGGCATCACTTGGATGATTTAAAAGGACCATTAATATTTTTTATCAATCTTGTCTCTTATTTGCACTTCAAATCTTTTATCTCTGTTATAAATTCAGCGAGGACTTTGTAATAAGTCTTTATGATTTTGCCAGAAATTACTAGTACTTAGAATTAAGGAAAGACAGTATTATAAAAAGGCAAATGAAAGGTCAAATGCGCAATTCTTTGTCTATTTCAGTGAGAACACACACTGATACTGCACCACTAAGTGCATTGCATTACATTAAGAAGACTACAAATTTAAAAAAACAGGCTGGCTATCACAAAGTGAAATGATCCGTTAATGGCTAAAATTTTTCCGTCGTATGACGTTTCTGACCGTCTCTGGCTTTTTTTCTCTTGTTACTATTACACAACGCTGCCGCTAGATGTCAGATTACGAAAGGGCCCCGGTAGTCCCCACAAATGCGTGGATCTGCTTAACAGATGAATTAGAAAGTTTTGGACGGACAAGGGGAATGGACGGGGGAAAAAAGAAAAAAAAAAAAAAAAAAAAGTAGCTTTATTGATCTTTAGCTTTTGTCAGTATTAAATTACTGCTCTTCTATGAAGAATTGCACTGTTGTGACACACAAGAATACAGGAAAGCTCCTGCAGCCACCTTCTTCGTCTGGGCTTTTACACTGTTTTTAAAGAATCTTTCAAAATGGACCCTGATTTGTTACAGGACAATGCTAGCACTAAGTAACAACAGAAAGTTGAGACACAGAGCTTACCCAATGCAAATTAAAATCATAGAGAAGAAAATAAATTATCAGGTCTAGTTTCCTCAGTCAGTATTGGCTTACCCATATTTACAACTCAGCTAGCTCAATGGCCTTGCCCTTCAGCCCCATGCTCACAGCTAGATTACACTAACTATGGGGCTTGGTGATGAAATATCATGTTATGTTTACCACCAATGAAGCTGGCAAACGACACTGTAAAGAATAGGAGACTTGGTATGTCCTCTATGTCATGTTATGGAGTTAATAAATACTCTCCACAACAGGTTAAGGGACATTTTGAAAAGATCAGAGCTAGGAAGGCAGCGCTGGACCACACCCTGGTACCCAACAGAAGGAACAGCCTTGGACTATGAATCCTGCTCCTCTGTCATCATGGTCACAACTTCCCAGGACAAAAGCTAGAAAGGGGAGGGATGGGGAAAAGGCAATGTTCTGTGTAGTAGTACAGGACAAAAAGTCTTCCCACTCTCTTCAGCATATAGGACAAGCTTTGTATTCTGTGATCAGGCCACTTTAATCTGGTTGCCCTATCGGTGTTTATAATGGAAAAAAAAAAAAGTGCTTCAGAAACTTCACTCTTTTCTAGTACCTTGTGTAAAGTGGAATGATGCAGATGAATTTTGGTCACAATGAATACCAAAAAAAAAAGCTGCTTTCAGACTTATCCCTTCCTAATTATAGAGGGAAAGCCATGGGACAGAATGCATAAAACTAAAATCACGAGTTCATTACTCTCGGGATGAGAAAGGAACTTAAATTGCATCAGAATTATGCTGTGACACTATTTCATGGCACTGCACAGCTTTATCCCTTCAGCCAAATGCTATAAGTAGGCATGAATCATTGTGTTTGCACTACTGGAGATAAGGATATCTTTTCTAAATCTGATCCTCATTTTCTTTCCCAAAAGCGTCTAAATTATTCCTTTTCACTGGAGTTTTTCTGTTGCTCTTCATGGTCACAGCTGTGCTTCTTGCATTATCTGCTTCCTAGGTTGATGCTAGGTTACCTTTCATACCAAGAAAGCAGCGCCTCAGTATTCATTAAGGATAGAGTTTCTGAAACCCTATGTGCTGGGTGTTTCTTTCTCTTTCTTCTGCTATTACTTGCTACATCATTGTGACTCTTATCCCTTTGATAGTCTACATGGGACCCTGGCACATGCTTTTGCCCTTGAAGGATTCGGAGGGGATAATCATTTTGACAGCACAGAGAGGTGGACCATGGGAACAAATTGTACATGGAAATAGCTTACGAATTTTGTAGATTTAAGGACTTCCTATGAAACAATCCTTAAAATTTACATTCAGAAATCGGTCTATTTCTGAGCTACCTAGGGACATACAGCATAATGATGTGGGATGTTAGAACAGTTTAAAATGTGGAAATGTGAAATCCTACATTAAGGAATAAATTTGAGGTCAGTTTGGAAAGTGAATAATACATGAACAGACTGATAAGCCTTAATCTCAAGCAAACTCACTGAAACAAGTACAAAGAAAAGGATTTAGTCTTACTCTTTCAAAACTGGACTAACTCAATAAATCTTGAAAGAGTTATTTCTGACCTACCATTGTGTAGCAGGAGATGGGCGAACAAAATTTGATCCATCATTTTCTGTGATAATAATTTAATAAGATAGCACAATTCACAGTTTTTGTTGCTGGCCACTGAGGGTCAACACACACACACACACACACATATATATATATATATACACACACATTAAAAAAACCTCATTATGTAGCTTATTGTTGTTCTTTGTTAAAAAGCCACTGGATAACAGCTTCCCTGCTGTGTGACAGGAGGCTGTATGACCCTAATATGAGTAATCGCTGGTTTAATGTTAAGTCTATCCTGAAGAGCTTTGCAAGACCAGTGCTGGAACATTTATTAGCTTGTAGGGTTGAGGAGTGTCTGTGGGCCATACTGGTTCCTTATCTTCAGCAGAGTAAATTAAGCAGCATCAGAGAAGTAATAATCCACACTGACAAATTACTAACTTGGTCCCTGTCACAGCTTTGTCCTGGACAAACTAGCATTTGGACATGATTCAGGAGTCACTACAGTTCAGAGACTTTCCTCAAGAAGGAATCTGCATGTACCTGCCCTGTTTTGAAAGATAGTTTAGATTTCTGATCCATTTATTTTATTACTACAATGATAGTCAGTGTTTGCTTTTTTGCACCTTGATGGCTTGCCACCCTCATGTGGATAAGCTTGACATGCCTGACCCTGCTTTCTTGTTTATATCATCAGGTTTTGTTCTGTCATTCACCTGGGTCTTACCCAATCCTTTCCCCTTCAGTGTCCTCTGATAGCATATCCAGGTTTTAGTAACCTGGAGCTGACAGGGAAAACAAGCCTGTCTCTTAGTTAGAAGTCAGAGGTCCAACCTTAAAACTCTGTAAAAAATGGCAAAAGCCTTTTTTTCTGGATATTCCACTGCTTCATAATAGGTTTTTTGAGAGCACATCCTCTTAATCATCTCAGTCCTGTTCGGGTGGATTTGCTCAATAGTGCCACTAAAATCTACTGTCATGGGAGGTCCTGTTCAATGCCTGCTGTTTGTCCAAGCACACTCTATAAAACCCTTCTTTACAAGGCAGGCTTAAGACTAATGTCTTCTATTACTGCGTCATTTGGTCTCTAGTTGAAACAGCAACTAACTTTAAACATGTTCAAGGCATCTGACAAGCCACTGTGCAGACCTCTCTGCCAAGCCTCAGGCTCTTCAAAGCTCTAGACTATCTTTTTTCTAATCTGCCCCAGCGCTCATCTTTCCATCTGCCTAATTTCAACATCCATATACATTGTCTCATCTGAATAATATAGGACCCAAATCCCACATTATTTCTCCAGTCCTTCAGTTTGCCAGACAGGTCCAGCTCCAGCCATAGATCAGTGACTCAAGTGAATGCATTCCCAAGGACACAGACATCACCACTTGCACAGATGGCCTCAATCTCCCCTGAGTTTCTGCAAATGTTCACCAAATTTGGTCTTCTGAGATCTGGGAAAAGTTTGCCTTTTCCAAAAAAAGAGCGCAAACTCAGAATCCTGATCTCTAATCCTCAGGTGGTAAGAAATACAATCATTCGCCCATGATGGAAATACCTGTGTTTTTTTTTTTTTATTATTTAGGATTTAATTTATTCATTGTTGCTGCCTGTGAATTTGGACATGCTCTGAGTCTTGGCCATCCCGCTGATCGATCTGCTTTGATGTATCCTACTTACAAATACCAGTCTCCATTTGGATTTTGTTTGCCAAAGGACAACGTGAAAGGGATCCAAGCATTGTATGGTACATTTTGTACACTTTTTAAAGAGCAATCATCTTAACAAGAAATTAAAAAAATTGCAGACACTTTCTGCCTCTTTTGATGCTCTTACAGTGCTGGGAAAAGTAATTCTCTTCTTCAGAGATGGGTAAGGTTTATACTTCCTCTATCATCCAATATGCTAGTCCTGACTAAATAAGTGTTTCTAGATGTTTTGCAGTTTCTTTGTTTTGTACGGTTTCTCAAAGTTTTGTATACTTTCACTTTGAAATAGCTCAAATTTGAGTTTCTTTATTGTCAAAAAGCTTTTGGAAGAGAGAAAAACTGTGTTTTCTTAAGACTGTTTTTCCTCCAAAGAGGTTAAATCATGACTGCACTGGAATCGGCCATAAATTCCTTTATATCTGAGGGAAGCCTCTGCCTCAAAGGATTACAATATCTTCACTAGAAAACCACTCTGAGAGATAATAGTATCTGGTCTGTGGGACAGGTGATCATTCCCTATTACAAAGAGTCATCTGAAAGCAGGGACACAGTTTGACTTGGACTTGTTACCTCCTGAGCTTCAGTGGCTGGGGAGGGTGAAGATGGATGCACACCCTTCCTGTGAGAGCATCAATCAAATTATCACTTAGAAGAGGGCAGCCAGTTATAGTTTGGATCCATTTCAGCCCAAGTTTACAGTAGAAAACCCAAACCCTAACTCTTCTGCCAGGCTGGGACAACTCCTTCCTCTTTGCTGGCCTGCCACTTCAGCTACTGCGAAACCAGGGACCAAGGGGACTGAGAACCTCTTCTGCAAAAAAAATTAAAGTTCTTTCAGATCAGTCAGCATTCTGCTTAAAGCTGTGGCAATCACTATTTCCCTTGGGCTTTCCAGACTTTAAGTCAGCAAATTTGTACCATTTTGGAGCGACAATCCATTGAAATTCCATATACTGCAGCCACACTTCACCACAGCCTACCATGAGCTGGTAGGGAGTCATGCAGGATTTCACTGGTCTTGTGTCTTAATAGCACTTTGCCAAAAATAACTATTGTCATCAAAATACTTTGAAAAACAAAGAAAACTTCCTAAAATAAAATGTAAATTATGTGATTTTCATTTTTCATCAGGAACTGAAAAATGCCCCAGATTTCACAAATTGGTTGCCATATCCTCTGTGGCCTGTGAGTCATCTCCTAGATTTGTGGCAGGAGGAAATTTTTTAAAAGTTTTCTATTACCACTCAATCTCTCATTCTGAGGCTTGTGGAGGAGATGCCACCTGCAAAAATGTCTGACAGATCCGACGTATCATGATTGTAGCTGGGATAATGCATTAATCAGTGCTGGGGCCTGATCTCCAGCTGTAGATGTAACCAATACGACCCGATTAAAGAGAAATCATAGGACTGATATGAGACTACTAGACTGAAGCGTATAAGATGGCATTTCAGATGTAGCCTAAAGCCTATGGCTACATCTGTAGCAGGAAATAAAATACAATTGGGACCATTCTCTGACATGGAGGCCAACAGGCATGAAGCAGCTCATGCCCATGCTATTAAACTCTCTTAATCTCCAAGACAGATTGGATACATCCAAACTGGTTATTGGGAATTGTCCCTGACCTATGACATATCCTGAATAGAGCCTGGGAACCATTCAGAGGATTGGTCTGAAAAGAAACCACCCAAAAGCCACTCCAGCAATTTAGCAGTACAGAGGATTGAGGGCTAGTACCTGGGAACGTTCTTTGGTACCACAAAATTTACTAACACCAGCCACAGTCTGTGCATCCATCCATCAGTCTCTCTCAAACTCTGTCGAACACCAAGCTCACAGATGACAGTGCAGCAGCTTCCAGTGAGGCCCACAAGACAAAATGTTTTCTTCTCTTCTTGCTTACTCTCCTTCCTTCTAATTTTATGCCTATTTAGTTAGCTCCCATTTAATTTTATGCCTGGCACTCTGACAAGAGAATTTCAATGACTTTGACAAGAATTTGAATCAGAGTTGCAGCTGCTGCAACCATTTCACAAGAGGCAACCTAACAGCGGTTTTTAGGCAGCCACCACACCACAATAAAGTAGGGAAGAAATTGTAAAGCAGGATATCCTTTGGAGGTTGTTACTGCTTATTCAAAACAGATGTGAAACACATTGGTCTAGTGGTAGGATGAACAGACACAAGATTATCTTGGAGACCTGGCCTAGTAAAATTGCACAGAATCTTTGTAGATACACACACACACAATAGCACATGCATATATATATATGTGTGTGTATATTTATACAACTTTGAAGAGGATCCAGTCAACATACTCCAGAAGTGGTCTGTGTGTGTGGTAGCTGAACGAGTGCAAGCTGCACTTGGCAAATCTGTAGCCTTTTGACTTTCTTCTGCTCCTCTTCCTACACAGCATTCATGAAGGTAGCTACGGGTTTACTATGACCAAGGCTGTAGTCTTTGTTGCAGTAAATTCAGTGCAGGTTTTCTATGGCATCTTCTTGATAGAGTCTTTATAGAGTAAATTTGTTTTCTGCCTGCCAGATTAAAGTCCTGCAAAATCAATCTTTTAGGTATGTTCCACTTGCATCACATATTCAGATTCAAGCATGGAGAAGGATGTTTTCTCAATCAGAACTTTGTGCTGCCCCAGGCTGTCTGCGATGAAGAGTCTTGGGCTAAACCATCCCAGCAGCAGAGGGTAAAGAATAGGCAAGACATCAGCGGGTGACTTCCCTTTCACTTAACCATAGACATTTATTATACAGGAGATTACGTTAAAGTTAATCCTTAGGGCCAATGCAGAGAAACAAGTACTTTAGGGGAACAAGATGTTTCATTCTGAAGCAGACAGCTACACTCAGAAAAGACTGATCTATACCTGACATCAAAACCTACTTCTGACAGTATGACAAAGACTCTTGTGTGATCTACATCAGCGTTCTCTTTGTTGCTAGCACTGTGGTACAACTCTGACAGGTTTTTTTAATCCCTTCATTTGAAAGGAACACAATGGTGAAGCTGGCAAGGAAGTCACTGCCATGTGCTATTCATCAAAGAAGAGCCATCTACTACACTGCGAGGCTCACTGGCCATTCCTTCCTTTCCTCAGCTCATGTTAAATGTTGTTGCTGTTTATGAAGTTCCTGAGAGGGGTTTGTTTCATTTTTTCAAAAGTCAATTATTTCGGGGGGGTGGGGAAAATAAATTTGTTTAGTGAAGAAAAAGCTCTCAAGCCAACTGGTCTCTTAGAAGATGAACTAACTGTCCATAACTTAGATCATTAGTTTCGGTCGCTAGAGTACAGAGCCAACACAGAGCTCTAAAGCTAGCTGTCAATTCCATGTCTTTTTGTGTGGATCAGTCAGCTGCAGATGGAAAAAAATACAACAGTTAAGGTTATCTTTAGCAATCACAACAGGCAATGAAACCAAATTCTGCCTTCTCCTAAGTTACTTTTTAGCCATGTTGCCCACACTTTGCCCATTTATAGCAACATACTAATTTCCTAAAGAGTCACAGGAAGAGTTATATATGACCCAGACTTCATGTCTTGCACAGCAGTTCTAGCTCTGTACAGAAAAGTTATTGCTGCAGAGGAGAAGACTTACTGAAGGTAAGTGAACACTACTGAACACTGAGTGAAGGTTAGTGTACCGAAAGATTTAATAAGGAAGGAAACACTCACAAGCATATTTACCTCTAGAGGGATCTACTCCACCATTTCATTTTACCTTTCACAATAGAGAGACCAGAAACTTCTCCAGCATTTCTTATCTTCCACCTAAGAGGTCTTATATTTGAGTACTTTTTTAAAGAGAGGGGTCCAATCTTTACCTAAAGACACCAAATGATGAAGAATTTCCTGACTCATTAAATGAGATGTTTTAGCATTTGAACTATTTTCTATTAATTTGCATGGAAATGAAACAACCTTTAATCAGATCCAGGGGCTTTTAGTGCTTCATATATCATCAGCTGTATAGTAAAACCAGTGCTCAACCTGGTCTGCACTGGTGGCACAAGATCCCATGGAAATACATCACCAGTTACATCATGTAGCAGTTTTATTTTCTTTTGCGCTGAATTGTAGCAGTGGCATCTTTTTCCTTCTAATTCACATTCAAGAACTGTATCTGCAACTGCACTGCTGGGAAACTGACAATTTTGTATAACACCTTTGTTTTTTCAGTCCCTCATTACTGGGTAACTCAAGGATTTCAAGCACAGAGCCCCCCTAACACCATCTCTGACTTAGGATTTTCAAAAAAAGTGCAGCACATTGATGCAGTGGACTATCCAAAGGATGAAAAGGAGATATTTTTCCTGGTGGGAAATTAATATTACACATACATTCACTACTGTCTGACCCTTTTGGATTGTACTTCCATTGGAAAACAAAGATTTTATTTTTCAGTAAGGAAATGCAGACATACTAAAAGCACTGAAATGGTGGGATACGTCTGACAAAGTGTAGACATCTACAATGTGTATGGCTGTATATGAGTACTTTGAGCCAGACTCCCATTATACTCAGTCTGGACCTGTGATTTACTCCAATCTCTGAACAGTAATTTAGAGGGTACCTCCACTGAACAGAGTTAAAGCCAGAGATTGTGCTGACATCTCTCCAGCCTCCCCAAGGCTGCCGGTGTCATAAGCAGAGTGAGGCACACTCTCGTGCCGAGGTTAAACACAAAGCGCAGGCATGGTTCATCAAATCTTGGCTCCTCCAGTTTCAGAGGTATCAATGTTTAGAAGAGCCACAAAATACTTATATTCTTCCAAATAGCACAAGGCATAAAACAGTCCTGAAATAAACTGTTCAGCTAAAGATCTTCTATAAACACCAAACTGCACTGGAAGAAGACAGCAAGAGAGGTCTCAGAGATATCCTAAGTCCTAGGCCCTTAATCAGCAGTGGACGTATTAGAGATATGTAGTAGATCACCCCTTACCATGAGTACCTTTTCCACCCTCACTCTGCTCGTTCTTTCTCCAGGAAGATCCTGGGGAGAAACATGCACAGCCC